GCATAATTTGTCTTATGAGAGCATATATTCTGTCTTTGCACTGTATGCTGGTACTTCCCAGTTCTGTATATTAGAATTATTGGCAGTCAATCTGTTAATCATAGTAATCTAAATAATAATAGAGGAAATTAGAACTGCCACCTTCTCTAATGATAAGTTAATAGAATGATTCAAGGTTAAGACTCAGTGAAAGCCAAAGTCAGTAATAAAGGCAGAAAACTTTGGCTGGATAAAGGATAGAAAATGAAATATTAATGACAACAAATTAACCATTGTAATTTTTTTTTGGGGGGGGGGAGAAGGGTGATAAAGATCTGCAACACTTGCTCTTCACAAAAAGAATTAAAAGGTTCACATTTTTGCAGCCAAAATATCAGATTGATAAACTGAAGACTGAACTCTGATCATTGCAGAGGTGGGTTGCTGCCGGTTCGGCCCAGATCGGGTAAACCGGTAGTATTGGCAGCAGAAGGCTCCGCCCACCCGCCCAGATGCTTCTCTGCATGCGCAGAATCATCGTGCACGCAAGCGCGTGCACGTTCATGAGTGAACTGGTAGTAAAAATAATAGAAACCCATCACTGGATAATTGTGCATATATGCAATAATTTTTATACCCATTCAGAGAGAAAACAGTACCTATATACAGAGATAGAAATATATTACATAAACTTTCTTAAATACTTCGATCTACTCAAGATGTAGCCTTAAATTCTAATCTCATTCTAAAATGCACAAATTCCAGCATGCAAAATTCCTATAGATCAAATTCTGCTCTATAAATATTACAAATATTCAGGTATGAGCCAGACTCATTTTGTTCCTGGGGGTGGATACATGATCCACCAGCAGTCATGATGCATTTTGCTTTGCTTTCTCCTCCAGAGTAATCTACCCAAGACTGTGATACTTCCACTAAACCCAAGTCCAAATCTCATTAATTTCATAAAACTAAGTTGGCTGTACCTTGGGTAAAGTTGTACAAAGGGCTTTCGTCATATGTGATTCAGACTTCTACTGCACGTGATAAGCTGCTGCTTACGTCAGCTACTGTCCTAATTGAATGTTGTGCAGCCCAGCAAGTCTTTGCTGATTGTTCTTGTACTTTTACACTGATGATAATCTGAGCTATCAATCAGGTTTCCCAGCTCAACTGACAATGTGCTACTGCCAAAAGCTATAAGAAGTGTATGGCAGAGGTACTCCAATTTTTAGCACTACAATTAAGCTCTGAGGCATCTAGAGAGCCAGCTGATTTTTGGCAGGAGCTTGAGGTTTTCAACAACAGGTTATGTGGACTTTCTACTAATATGATTGATGTGGGGCAGATAGATTCTGGCAATAGTGCAGGGTGTTCCACTGAAATGTTCAATTTTCTAGCTGTGACAGGTAGCTTATATGATTCATAATAGGACCAAGCCCATTGATGAAATTCTGAAAAAATTCCAAATTCTATTGTGCAAAGGCTGTAACACTATTACTGGAAGAGAGTGGCATGTTTTAGGGTGCTAAAATGCTACTATTTGTTAATTCTGGCAGACAATCCAATTAATATGCTATTAAGGGATAAAAAAGTAAACTTTTTATCCATAATCATTCCACAGGGCTAATATAAAGTTAGTGGTAGCTTATTTCAGATTCAAAATCATATCAGAATTAGGATACTGAAGTAAGCACAAATTATTTTTCATTTGTTCCATAATATGTATTTAAAATTATTCTTTGATAACATATTATCTTTAAAAATTTGCTTCCCTTTGAAAGGCTGTATTGCTAGGAATGTTAGATAAATTGCTTTCCCATATTGAAAAAGTTAAGTTTTGAAATATTCAATATAATGCATTGTATTATATCATGTTTATTCTACAAGTTTTTAATGTTCTATTCTCTTTATTAGCAGACCTCAGAATGAACGTTTTGCTTTTATTAGCAATTTTAATATTGGCAGCCAGTGTAGCAATTCAATTTTATTTTTCTCTTTTTCCCCAGAATGCAAGTATTTTTAGGGCTCTTTCACCGGCTATTTAAAATCTGTATAGATGCAAAATGCAAAGCAGATGCAAGAATGTATATTGAATTCTAGTAAATAATTAAATATTTATTTAATATTGTTTAGTAAACTTTATTAGAACAATGTGATGTTCATAACCTACATGTTTTCAATCAGAAAAATAGAGAGGGGATGGAAGAGTAATATCTTCAAAAAGTAAAATATTTATCTTTCATATCCTATTTTTTTTCTGATGCATCCAAAGTAAAAACAGTGGAAAACTTCTGTGTGTGACTGTCCTTCCTTCCTTCCTTCCTTCCTTCCTTCCTTCCTTCCTTCCTTCCTTCCTTCCTTTCCTCCCTCCCTCCCTCCCTCCCACCATCCCTCCCATGGGTACACATACATATGGGTACACATATTCCATGAGTATGCATACATGTTTATATCCTTGAGAACACATGCATATACATATGTATGTATTCTCAAGGATATAAACATGTATTTATATGCTCAATCTAAGCATTTCTGTATGCACAGCAGATACTCATTGTAGCTAACTTTGATGCTGCTGCTAATTAGTTTGCAAGAAGATATTGTCAATCTCTTTAATTATCTTCTCTCATGTACATGAATGCAACCATAGTGCCCAAAACTGCTGTTGGGATAGCTGCAAATATAATCTCTCCTACAGAAGTCATGCTTGGATGATTGTATCTTGTCTTATTAGCACAACCCTTTTGTATCTGCAGAAAGACATTTTTATGACCTACAATGCAGACAATTTAATTAAATATAGTTTCTGATTTCATTCAAACCCTAAACTGATGTTTGCTATATGACTATCATAAAACACTGAATTACAGCTTGCTTGTTGTGAATCTGTCACAGTTTTCAGGTTGTGTGAAATTTAAAGCAAAGATTATTTAGGTATGAATACAACAGTCTCTGTGTGTAGACATAAAGTTCATACAATAGTTTAAAATCTCTGGACATAATAAATAACAGATAAAATACTCTTCTTTCGATGTGTGTGCATGTAGAGTTTTACACAAACATTTTAATAAAGCGATGACCATGTCTGATAATAATTATCTCTACAAAGTCTACATCAATAAGCACCTTGTTCAGAGATTTCAAGCAACATCAGGTCTTCAGTCCATTAAGTAATTGGAATTGTAAATTTATCTTTTGGGTGTGGAATAATAAGCCTCTTTGCAGTAAGAATGAAACAGAGAAATTCTGCTCTCCAGCTGTGGAATCCCAAGTAGTTAGTATGTAAATCAAAAGAAGTTGGCTAGAAAAATATTAAAATCTATCCCAATTAATATATGTATGACTTCCTAGACCATCAGAATTATATGACATTGTAAAAATATGCAATTCTCACTATCTGAATCTCCAACAGCACTATGAATTATTCATTTCTTTTCTAAACAAATGTGATGGATTATAACTATAATTTTTATTGAACAAGCTAAAGTATAAGATCTATTTAAATTTTTGATGCAGACATAAAAGCAATCTCCTGTTCTTTTTTTTAAAAAAATGGAACTCTCCAGTTCTGTATTCCATTCAATATTCACAATTTACATATTGACTTAAGGTGCTTGGGTTTTTTTTGGCAACAAGCATTATAAAAACTAATTGCATTATTTTAATCTCCTAAAATTTGGTAATCATTTTAATACTTTAGGTGTACTGAAGGTGAAATTATTGCTGCTCCAAATTGAAATATCATTAGATGTTGCTATTATTGCTAGAGGTTGGCAAATATATATATAGTTGAATCCTATGATATCTTACAAGGAATAACACAGGGTCAACTCCTCTTCTATCACTATCATCAACTAAACCTACTCACTCAGGAAGGACTAAACCAATTATAGATCAGTAGATCCATGCTTATTTCTTGCAGACAGTCCAAAAGGAAATCCTTTTCAGGAACAGCTGCTTTGTCTTAAAGATAGAAGGTTGCACCTCTTCTCCCAGATATATTTTCTCCTAGATATATTTTCCTCATATTTCTAGCAGTCTAAAGCAACCAACAGACCCTAATTCCACCCCACAGATAGCATTATGCTCCAGAACATCCTAACTACTTCCCCAGAGCCTCAGCACTTCTGAAATTCAGGAAAAAAAATCCAAAATAACAATGAAAGTGTTTGTAAGGTTACCTCCTTACATCTTTCCCCATCTTTGGAGTTTCAGTTGAAACACTGGTGACTCTTTCAGAAAAAATGAAACAATTGTTCAAAGCATGGCATTGAATATTTCATCTCTTTCTCTCTACAATAGCTTTTTCTGGGTGGACAAAATGAGGTGGACAAGTAATCATTCTGGCTGCTTCTAATCAATTGCCAAGTATGTTACAAAGAGTAACCAAGAATAGATATTACAGTGGGAGAAGAAATATTTCTCAAGCCATGTTTTAAGTTGTGCTTGCAATCATTTTCGCGTGAGCCAAAAACACTTTCTGCATTTTGTATACAGAAAATCAACATTAACTGTAACTTTCAAGCAAGCTTCTAAGTACACCACAATGCAGCTGTCTAAATAGACCGCCACAGTGTGGAAATTAGTTTCCAAATCCTTGTTACAAAGAAAAGCTGCCATTGATTTACCAATTGAAGTTGATAAAATAGCAATCTCAACTGCTGCAGTGCCTTGGGGTCTGCTGGTAAATTCTAGTCAGCTGGATCTGTGGCAAGGTGCTGGGATGAATCTAAAGGGCTATTCATAAATACAGCACCCCACTAGATCTTCTGGGAAATTAGCTGCTTTTTCACTGCAAAGCAGAGTCAAAATATCTGATGATCTGATAAATGTGAAAAACAGAAGGAAATCTGTCTATGTTGGAGTTTGAAATAAGATTAATGTAAGCTAACCAAAGGCAGGAGGAGAGATGAAAGACAGAGGAAAAGAAATAACTAAATATAATCTGCATTTCCTGAATCTTAATAAACGATTTTATTCACAGACAAACACATAAAAAGAAAGCCATATATACTTACAAATTATAAAGCATATCAGCCATGTTGCTGCGGTAATACAAGGCATTTCTATAGGCGCTTTCAGCTTCAGAAATCTTACTCTGGCTCTTCAAAACATTTCCAAGGTTACCCCATGCTGCCAAGAGAAGAAAATAATATTGAGAAGGAGTTGCAGTCCAATTAAATACAATTTAGTGTCTGAATAAGGAGTTCTTGTGACAAGAAAACCTACACAACCTTTACTCTGATTCCGTTTTAAGATCTCATCCCACCCCATTTTCATTAGACTATGCCAGTGATGGCTAGCCTTTTTGTCGAGGCCTGCCCAAAGCAGAGAGAGCATGCATGTGCCCATACCCATGATGCAATGCCCTGCCCCTATGCATACGCACACAACACACACCCCACGCGCATGCCCGCAGGCCTCACTGAAGCCTCTGGAGTTCCAGTTTGAAGCCTCCGGGAGGAGAAAAATGGTCCAACGGGCAACCCAGAAGTTTGTTATATATATATATATATATATATATATATATATATATATATATATATATATATATATATATATATATATATATATATATATAT